TCTGTCTTCTGTCTGATTTTTGCCTCAAACAATGATTGAGCATTATTTCATGCTTGTTTAATTGATAAGTGATGTCTAATGATAATTGATAAGTGGCGTTTGGTGCTTGACTCTGAGAAGTTGATTCGTGATGATTTTGCAGTTGCTGAGGTAAATAAAATAGTGTTGTATTGTTCCTTGAGGCCAGTTCTCCTTTTCAGGGAATCACAAAAAAACTCTCTCGACCACCCACTGTAGTGGGGCGAGACAAGGGGCTCCGTCTCCATCCCCCCCCATCTTCTCCCCTCTCTCCTCTCCCTCTCCAGGTTCCCTGGTCCAGGCAGCAGTGACTCAGCCGCCCTCGGTGTCGGTGAACCTGGGAGAAACCGTCCGGATCACCTGCTCGGGGCTTGATAGCAGCTATGCTTATGCTGGCTGGTACCAGCAGAAGGTCCCTGGCACTGCCCCTGTCACTGTCATCTACAAGAACAACCGGAGACCCTCAGGCATCCCTTCGCGATTCTCCGGATCCACATCTGGCACCACGTGCACATTAACCATCACTGGGGTCCAAGCCGAGGACGAGGCTGTCTATTACTGTGGTGGCTGGGACAGCAGCAGTGGTGGCTATGTTGTCTGGTGACAATGAGTAATATGAAGGGAGACACAGACTTCAAAATCAGAGGAAGGTTTTGAACCCTTCTCAGTCCTGGCTGAGCAGAGCTGTTGGCTGTCGGTCTGAGGTAGGTTTGTGTCCCCTCTGCACGACCATGCCTGTCAATATCCTCCCTTTTGTGTCCTACAGAACCTAAGGTTCTCTTTGTCTCCCCTGTTACTGGGGACCATTGTCCTTGTCCCTATAAAATTCACAGTGTGGCCTTATCTGCCACTCTTCCACCTCTTGCTACTGGTGACCGTGTGCTGCTGCCGGTGCCAGAGCCGCCTCTGTGCTGGATGCATTGTGCTGGGCTCTGCTCCCCAAATGTGCCTGTGACCATGTCTGGGTCCATTCTCCTCCAGCTGTGGCATTCCCTGTCCCCCTGCCCAGGGAGGGCTGTGCCGTGGGACTCTGGCTGACCCCCGTTTTCTCCCCTCTCTTCTCTCCCTCTCCAGGTTCCCTGGTCCAGGCAGCGCTGACTCAGCCGCCCTCGGTGTCGGCGAACCTGGGAGAAACCGTCCAGATCACCTGCTCGGGGATTAGCAGCAGCAGCTGGAATTATGCCGGCTGGCACCAGCAGAAGGTCCCTGGCACTGCCCCTGTTACTGTCATCTACTGGAATGACAAGAGACCCTCAAACATCCCTTCGCGATTCTCCGGATCCTTGTCTGGCTCCACGGGCACGTTAACCATCACTGGGGTCCAAGCCGAGGACGAGGCTGTCTATTACTGTGGTGGCTGGGACAGCAGCAGTGGTGGCTATGTTGTCTGGTGACAATGAGTGCTAGGAACTGACACAGATATGGGAAAGTCAGAGGAAGGTTTTGAACCCTTGTCAGTCCTGGCTGAGCAGAGCTGGTGGCTTTGGGTCTGAGGCAGGTTTGTGTCTCCTCTGCATGACCATGCCTGTCAATGTCCTCCCTTTTGTGTCCTGGAGCACTGTATGTGACTCCGTGACTGGGTGCTATTGTCCCTGCCCCTACAAAATTCACAGTGTGGCCTTGTCTGCCACCCCACTGCCTCTTGCTACTGGTGACTGTGTGCTGCTGCTGCCAGAGCTGCCTCTGTTCTGGACATGCTGTGCTGGGCTCTGCTCCCCAGATGTGCCTCTCACAGTGTCTGGGTCCATCCTCCTGTGACAGTGGCATTGTCTATCCCACCTCCTGGGGTAGGGCTGTGCTCATGGGGCTCTGGCTGACCCCCATCTTCTCCCCTCTCCCTCTCCAGGTTCCCTGGTCCAGGCAGCGCTGACTCAGCCGCCCTCCGTGTCGGCGAACCTGGGAGAAAACCGTCTAGATCACCTGCTCGGGGAGCAGCAACAGCTACTATGCTGGCTGGTACCAGCAGAAGGTCCCTGGCACTGCCCCTGTCACTGTCATCTACAAGAACAACCGGAGACCCTCAGGCATCCCTTCGCGATTCTCCGGATCCACATCTGGCACCACGTGCACATTAACCATCACTGGGGTCCAAGCCAAGGACGAGGCTGTCTATTACTGTGGTGGCCAGGACAGCAGCAGTGCTGATCTCGTGGTGACACCGAGCCACAGGCAAGCAGACCCTTGAGTGTCAGAGGTCGGTTTTATCGCCTGCTTTCTCTCTGCCCTGCAGGGCCCTGTCGCCAGCTCTGGGGTTTTCCCTTTTCCCTCCCGGTGCCCTTCCCCATGTGCCCCGTGTCTCAGGGCTGTGACTGTCCCCAGTGATGGGGCCCTGGCTCGGGGGTCCCCGGCTGGGCTTGTCCCCACTGCCCAAAATCCATGTGAGGGGCAGAGGAGGCTGGGACAGTGTTAGGAGCTGGAGCCTGAGGAGCTGCCTGGGAACAGCTTTGCCAGTTTCTGCTCTTGCCTGGGGCCCTGCAGCTTTGCAGCCGCCCTGGGTGCGCAGGGCTGAGCGCGTGGGCGTTTGCCAGCCTGGGGAGCCTCGGGCACTGCGGCCGGGCAGGGAGAGCTTGTGCCTCAGCCCCCGGCTCTCATGTGGGTCTGGCTCAGCCGCCCTCGGTGTCTGTGTCCCTGGGGCACACCACCTCATCTGCTCTGGGAGTTCCAACAGTGCTTATGGCTGGTTCCAGCAGAAGG